GACGCGCGCTCTCCTTTTATTATGATTGACGAGAAGCTACGCACACATAGGACACAAGAAAGCTGACTCGAGTGGCCCCCGAGTTAAGTTCAGGCGGTCGATGAGTTTATTCATATCGAGAGCTTTTTTTTTTTTCCCCATCCACCGCCCTTTTCCCAACTCGATGTAACGCGAGCGCTAATTGCCCGCACGGGCGCCTCATCCAATCAATCGTCCCTCTGCCGTCCACGACGAGGTATGGCCTTGCTAATGTGAGCGTAAATACGGGACGCCCCTGTGTCTCTATGTACACACGAGCGAGGGCCTAATGCACACACATCTCCGAGTTTGTCTTTGCTTATATGCTCGATAATGCGACGCTCAAAAATAATACGCAGGAGCGACGACTGTCGTTCTATAAATACGGGGAAGCTATATCCGCATCGGTAGTTAAATTATTTCTTGTTCTTATTCTNAGTTGTGTAATGGGAAAAGCTGGAGGGGCTCGAATTTATTGGCATAACAGGAAGAGCGGAAATTAAAGAGCCGAGGGATGTGCAACCAAGTGCGTCCGTGTATCGAGAGAAAAAAATTAAGGACGCGTCCCTTGGCTATTATTCGTTTTTTTTTTTTTTTTTCCTAACAATTTCCCGGGTTGTTACTAACAGTTGTTCACTTCAATCTTTAGTGCCCGGTTTTTTTTTTTTTTTTTTTTTTTAAATAGTAAGTCTCCGTTGAAGCGAGAGCCACGCAACGTCAAAGGCACAGTATTTTTAGGAATGTAAAGTATTGAGGATGATCAATTTGCTGTATGATTTACTACAAAAAAGAGAAACAATTTTTCCTCCCGTAGGGCACAAAAGTCCCAAAGCTCCCGATTGATCGATCGAAGAAATCGCTACCTCCCATCTTGGCACTGATCGCGTGACAATAAACCTGCGTGCCGCTCGTCAGCCCCCATTGAAAATTAGTAGTCTCATCGTCCATCTCTCCCGCGCGTAAACGAGCACGTACACGCGGTCTTTCGAAAAAGTGCCTCGAGAAGTATATACGAAGGTCAAGACGCACACGGCCGTAGGGCACGCGCGGCTATATTACATGGGAGAATATATCGAGGGGAGCGATCGAGCGACGCGATAGATCGATGAGAGGCATGGAGGTGCATTGTATGCCCTTTTCCCACGCACCGTCATCCCGCGGATTTTCTTTGGCTCATGCCCAACGTGGAATTTTCCCCCTTCCTCTCTTTCGGGCCCATGCAATAACCGATCTCTGATTGCCGGAAAATAAGAGCGGCGATACACTTTGGCTGCCGATCGGCTTTACGAGCTCCGCCGCGCTCTTCGAGATGTGCCACAGTTTTACGGGCTACGGGTGATTATTTCATTTATTTTATTTTATTTTTTTTACCCCAACGCGCCGAACTTTTTTCTTTTTCCTCCTTCGGAAAACCTGTATACAGACGTATCGGGGCCTTTTTGTGTTTTACCGCTTTCCGCGAACGAGGCAAGAATCCAGATGGTTGTGTGCAGTTTTTATCGCTTCCTCTTCGGCCATACATACCCCCTCGCACCGGAATGCCAAAAATGCTGTATACTTTCGCTCCATTACGCGTGTACAGTATATACATATATGCATCGGTATGTGAAATTCTGGCTGGGACTTACGTACCTGGAACAAACAACAAAAAGAACGGCATCGATAAGTCACAACGAATGAGGCACAATGGCAATGAAAATTAATAATGCGATCACAACAGGTTACGTGTGTATATACGTGCATATATTATATATGTGCTTTGTCGTCGCTACTCGTAACTCAGCATTAAATCCCCGTTAATAAGGACGCCCAATATTTATTTCCATTGAAATGTTAGACAAATTTTCGCGGTAATCTCCGCGCATTAAATCTCTTGGGGTTACGTGCAGTGTATCGCGTGAATAGGGCCAAAATATTGGTTGGCAGGGTCGATCCCCCCCTCGTTGCCTCCCTCGTAAAGTACAAGTAAAGAGTCGGCGGATTTGTCGGTTTTCGTTATCCCGCGAGTGAGGGCCCTCCTCGCCTCCGAGGATGTTTTACGGGCCCCCTCCCGTTGCACGGCGCGCTTTCTTCTCCGCCTCGAGGAGGTCAAGTCCATTTGGCATCTCGAAATCGGAGACGAAAGGTTTCGGCGAGAGAGGAGCGCTTAAACGACGGCCCTTTTCGTGGGAGGAAGGAAAAAGGAGGAGTCGAAGGTTATGGCGAAGAGGGGGTGGTGGCCGGTACCTCGGCGCGTGTGTCAATCGCAGAGAGTGGCTTTTGGCGCGTCCTGTGCTCGGCTGAATCTTTTCGCAGGGACTCCTCTTCGCGCCGAGAGAGATAATTCATCCTTGCTGTCTTGGGCGCGTATCTTTTGGCTGCTGCGTATGGATGTGCTGGTCCGTCTATGGGGAGGGTGACGTCATATTGACCGCCGACAGGGGGTTACTTTGGTGCAAGGGTTCAGAGTGGGAGGGGTAGGTGATGTGTATTTATATGCGATTGGGGTCCTGAAACAGTGTTTTGATTTGATACCTAATGTGAACAAAGTTGAACAAGTAATACTGTGCGCAAAGTAACCATTTTCAGTATATGGGTGTGATGCACGTAAAAGCACTCATAGTTACAATCTTTAATGACTCCTGATTTTTAGGACTGAGGCTGTGAGACGATTTTTGTTGTCGTACAGTCGTCGCCTCTACTAAATAATGATAGCAAATACGACGGTGAGATTAGCTTGCTGTTTGGATCGTAGGCTATTAAGATATTTTCAAGCCTCACATGTTAACTAGTAATTGACTTGATAAATTTGTTTTTATTATACTTTTACAATTGCCCGCAGTTTTACTTACACACATTTTATAACGTTCAAACGCTAAATGATAACACAGTCTTGATTTTTTTTTTTTTTTTTTTTTTTTGACTAAGTGACGTATTGATTTTTTTAACAAAGAGTTATTTATTAGATTTAAATTAAATGTTTGACTGCGCTAATAGCATTTCCTCAACTCGTTGCGGCTTTAATTTTCAACTAAAGATTCGATTATGCTAGCGTAGTTTATACATTTTATACTATTGTTTGCGCTCTTGATATATTTTGTAATAATTGTTTTGAAGCTGCACTTGGTTGTACCACAAATCCCAATAAAGTCTTGTTATGTATAAATTATAGAAAAATATTTTTGATCGTGAAAGTGCGTAGGTTCTTCTTTATTTTTGTCGCACAAACAATCGATTTTTGTTTTAGTTATACACCGCCGATTCTGAGACACTCCAGTCAGCACTCCTACATCTGCGTAAAGTAAGCAAACTATGTAAAATCCAAGATGTTTCATGGTTAAAAATCCCCCAGCACCTTTGAACTTAATAACTAAAAAAATTTTTTAAATTTTTTCACGTCTTTCCTCCAACCGGTGGAAAGAATTTCCTCCTCGTACCCACGACACTCTTAAAACAAATTCCCATAACAAACCATTCGGGCATAAAAAATCCTCGTTGTCCTACTCCCGCGCAATGACTTTAGTCCTGGAGGAAAAAAAAAAGCCATAACCGTCCGAGTTTACGATATGCACCGGGGAATCCGCCACCGTCAACCTATTCCTGGACGAGCCGCTACACGAAAATCTCCAACAGGTGTTCGCATAACGTGGTGCCGTTACAGAAACACGTATAAACGCATGCGAGCGCGCTGTAGGGGGCCCCGGCGTTGAGTTTTCCCACACAGAGAGAGAGAGAGAGAGAGAAGTGCCGCGGGCCTTGGTTCCCACTTGTGCAGCGCCGGTGTGGCGAAAAGGATGCACGGAGAAAAGCGTTATCATCGCCTTGTACACTACCGTACCGCGGTATAGTTTCTTTCTTTTTTCACTCTCGTTTCGCCGTCGGTGCTAATAAAGAGGGATAAGCTCCTTCTTCTCTCACGGACAGTTGTGTAATGGGAAAAGCTGGAGGGGCTCGAATTTATTGGCATAACAGGAAGAGCGGAAATTAAAGAGCCGAGGGATGTGCAACCAAGTGCGTCCGTGTATCGAGAGAAAAAAATTAAGGACGCGTCCCTTGGCTATTATTCGTTTTTTTTTTTTTTTCCACATTTGAGAGTCAAAGGGAATATTAGAGAAGAAAAGATTGATTTTAAAGGTAAATCTCTACCTCACGATCAACTGAATGTTCAACAATGTAAAACTGTTTTGTGTCTGGTAGGTACCACTGAATGATTGATATCCTTGCAATGACAATCGTCTGCATAAGACTCGGTGTACTTGTACCAAAATAATATCTCAAAACATATACAACGACAAAAGAGTAGGAAAATTGGCCAACTACTCATACTTTTATTTTTAGATGATTTTAGAAAATCGACCTTTGCTCGTTTATGAAGTTGGATGTGACAAGCATAAACCATTGAACTAAATCCAATCAAGGCGTACTATACCAAAAAAGATAAGTTTATATTTACATGTCTTACGTATTTTATGACTTATATTTCAACGTATGTATTTAGATATAACAAAGAAATTTTCAAGTCACATGTTTAAGAACTAAATATTGTTTCCTAAAAAACTAGATGGCGTCACCATTATAACGATCACTTTTTAATAGCAGTAATTAGACATTTTTCTGATAATGTAATACTCAATTTATAATCAATATTTCTTCAACTTCACGGAAAATGTTAGTAAGCTCCAGTATTTGGAAGGAGAAAGATCCTAAAATGTATACGTAAACTATACTCAAGTACTTTGAGTGAAAGAAAAAAGCTATTTAGCCGATTGCAATAACTATATTAATCTATAAATGAGAAAAATCTTTTCTGGTGATATTTTGCAGTGCAAAGTCTCGGTACTAGCAATTACACAGCAATTAGTACAGTGCCATTTTTAAGAACAAAATTTACTGATACGCTATACGTTCCTTGGTGAGATTTTCAACGATTTCGGTACTTTTGAACGCGAAACGGTTACAAACATCCAAGTTTTTCTATAAACAATCTACAAGAATACTCATCAATGAACAACGAAAACAATGTGAGCCTTCACTCAGCAGTTGGTTCCGGCAACATTTCGTTGGTTCGTGAAATCCTGCAAAGGTAAACTTCATTCAAAGTCCAAAATACCCGATTAAACCTTTCCATGGCATACTCGATGAAAATCCTAGGGATCCATCTCGTGTGAATGATTGGGATTTGGAATGTAGAGCTCCCCTACACATGGTCTACGATCACGTCAATGACTCCAATCCTGGAAGAGCCGACAACGGACTCATGATGTTGCAACTACTCATCGACCATGGATCAGACGTAAATGTCCTAAATGCCCAGTTTGAATCGGCTCTGTACATATCAGTCAAAAAACGGCAGGTAGCGCATCAATTGAGCACAAATACTTCCAAAATCTTGGTCATCAAAATTCACAGGTCAACGGAGCGGAGCTTCTTCTGAATTCTAACGCCAACCCTGACACCATCAACCTGATGAACAAAACAGCTTTGCATCTTGCGGTGGAAGGAAACAACAGCGAGATCATAAAATTATTATTGGATAACAAAGCGGATCCAAACGTAGTTGATTTTCACGACATGACACCTCTGGATGAGGCCATCTGCTATTGTAAAACTCGTCCTGCCAAAATACTCATACGTCACGGGTAAGTTTATTTGGTTATTCTCCAATAATACGCACCTATTGTATCCTAATTGTTATGGAGTAGAGCAAAAAGTAAGGATATCTATCGGAGTTTGCATCAGGCATGTAAGTTCTCTAGCAGCGGATTACAAAAAAAACTATTTCTCATCCACATACTGAGTCACGCAGCTGAAATAGACATTCACGGAAATTTCTCGCTCGGGGCTGTACTTTACTATGCGGCGTCCGACAAGCACGAAAAATGCATTCTCGTAGAACTACTGAATGAGCAAGGTATTAACATCGATGATGGCATCGGTGACTCGGAGCTTCATCGAGAGGTCCGCCACGGAGGGGAGGTGGCCACAATTGAAGCTCTTCTTCGAAAGGGAACGGGCATTCATGTCAGAAATGTATTTGGCGAGACACCGCTCCACTTACTGTCAAACGGAGTTGTGTCGCGCGATGAGGATTGGCACGTACGAGTTGCTGGTTTACTCATTAAATATGGTTAGTAATAGCGTGACAACGGTTTAGCATAAGCTTTTATGTTTTTAATTTAAGTTTAATCGTGAGAGAGTAATCAGCACTATAAAAATAAATATTTGTATGATCCAAAAAAATTATGATGGATTATCATGTATCTACCATGATTTTCATCACACCTCATGTATAGCTTGGACGGCTTAAGAGAATCCCTTTGATTCTTTATAAAACTGTAATTTAGATATTTCTCACAAGCTTTGCGCAAACCAATGGCATTATCATTTTGTTAACAAATTACAAGTTTAGAAACGAGTCAAACCTTTATCATTAGGATCGTAATTTTTCTTGGTAACGGATATTATTTTCGCAGGGACTGATCTCGATGCGCACAATATTGTCGACAAAACGCCATTTTTCTTGGCTGCACAAATGAGTAAAGAAAAATTAGTCAATCTGATTTTGGCCAAAACGACAGGGATAGATGAGACGACACTCAAAAGTCCACATCGACTTCCTTCCCTTTTCTTGCGTACTCGGCGGAACAAGCAACAGCCGGAACTGTACGAGATCATCGTTGCTGTTGACTTGGGTTACGAGAAAGTGGTCGATCGGTTGCTTGACATGAAGTACGTTGATAAGTCGAAGAAAAATTACTGTCAAAACGCCAACTTAGTGCTCCATCGAGCTGTCCATAGACACCGCTACGGTACCATAAAAATGCTACTGGAGGCTGGCATTCGTACGGATGGGTTTGTTACTTAATTACAAAATTTTTAAATTTCAACGGTGGTCTTGTTTGAATGACCATCAGGGCTTTTTGTCGACAGGCACTTTTCTCGGGAGGTACCTCATTTTTACGTCCATCAAAATGAAGAGTACAATTTGATGACATCGTGTTTGTTCTGGGAATTTAATGACAATGCAACCATCATCCGAGCAATTAAAAATGCCTTTCGTTACGTTGTACCCTCTAGAGTCGTTAACAAATTTACGTATCTTATGGCCTTTTACTACGCCACGTATTTACGAGCCAATAATTTGAGTGTGGACTTAACGCCAGTTAAAGGACTTTTGAAATTAAATCCAAAGCTGTCGGGAATTGTTTCAGAATGTAACAAAAAACTGGATGAATTGGGAGAAGAAAAAGTGGGTAATATGCCAATCTTTGAAATTATAACAATGCCATTGGATTTGCTTGTGAAACGATTAAGTAACAAGAAATATTTCGAAGCCTGCCACAACTTTTCTTTGTTACTCGAAGAAAAAAGAGATCTTCCATATTATGAGTATGTGGTACAATGTCGTATTAGTTTGGCCATAGAAAAAAGAAAGATATTAAATACCGCAGAAGATAATGCTGATAAACTTTTTCGAAGTATCTTGGAGGCAATTCATTTTCAAAGTCTACCTCGTAAAATCATGTGTAATATTCTTTTTCGTCTTAGTATGAGAGAATTAAAAAATCTGGCCAACTGTCAACTAAGTGACAACTGCGGACCAAGTGCAGATATTGTTAATTGATCAGAGCAAGTGAGGAGGGGAGAAAAAATATCGCTTTTAGATTGCTTTGAAATGTGGTATTGTTACAGATTAACATGGGTACGAAGATTTCTTTTCTAGAATAATGTTTAGCATTTATGTGCAAAGTTTCATGTAAATTCTCAAAATCGAATTCAATATCGAATTTTTAGAGAAGCTATTAAAAACATTTTTTAAAAGAAAAATCATTTTTTCTACTTTGAATTAAAAGCTTACACGTAACGTAAAAATTTTAACTAAAAAAATTAATTTTTTGTTAGTCAGTGTTTTTGTTTTTCCTGTTACCGTAATATTTCCTTCGAACAACAGCCCACATGAAAATTTAACGCGAATGTCCTACATATCTCTTCAACGTTAATTAACAAATGTAGAGTAGTCACAAGGATCGTAACTTTTTGTCACTAAAATTTTTAGTCACTAAAAAAGTACCTATAGTTGAATCCAACATGCTCAATGGGATCCTTCAGGTGCACTTGAACGAAACTTCATGTCCTTTGACTGAGGACAACTATAATTCATAAGTTTCCTGTATGTTGCGTGTATTCCACCATATTAGGCACTACACAAATAGTTCACTTACTCTTCGTTATAGTATCCCAAATCATATATGATGCCATATCCTGATTAATCCCATGCATTCCCCCAACCATAGGTAATGTAAAAAAGACTCTACGTACCACGAGACAAGAGACACTCTGTTCGAGCTAGCTTCCTGTATTACCCGAAACCCCAGCTAAGGTATAGGTGATCAAAAAAGCTACTGCCAATTACCTCCCATCCTGCGTTAAGCTCGTTGATCTAATGATTTACCACCACGGGCAGGTGTAAGTGTATACAAGCACCCAGAACCGAGACGAATAGAGAAATCGAGATCAGAGCCGTGAAATCGCACTAAATCGAGGCCCACTTGTGCGACGCTGAATGCACCGCGTAATAGGCCATCGACGCTCCGAGTCCCCTGGGGCGTGAGAGCGGAGCCAAGTTTTTCCCATCGCCGAGGAAAATCGGCTCGTCTCTTATTTGGAATTTCCACCAAATCAGCGCCGGTACCATAGACACCCGAGATTACATCCTTTGCCAGGGGGACCGACGACAATAGGACTCCTAATAGCCGGAAGAAGGATCGACTTTTTTTGCAAAGTCAGTAACGGGAGCGTCGTCGTCGCGTTGCCCACAGTTGATGAACCGATCCCCGCCTCTCGTGATGAAACATCGGCAAGGATTCGGCATGGCCATCTGGTGGAAGAATCGAGGTAGGAAGATTACTTTGTTTTTTCCCTTATCCAAAGCTCCAAGAGAACCTACCGACTCGAGCCGATCGGTCAATTGGTAAACATAGCTGCGCGCAATGCTCCAACAAAAGTGTGCCACTCGCTCTGCCAACTTGGAGGAAAAAAAAAGGACTTAATCACGCAAAAGAGAGATATTACACATAATGCGACAAAGTGGTTGAATGGATGGTTCAACATTTGTGGGGTCGTCCTGCACGAAACCTATACATATACACTCGTAGAATGAAGGTGGAGAAGGGTAATACAACGGGCGAGAGTGCCATAGTCTGTATATATCTCGTTTCGCGCCGCGGTCCGGGCGACAAAGGCATTCCAGTTAAGAAATGAAGAATGAGCCCGCGAGGCGTTATGGCACTGCCCATACCCGCTCTTCTTCGCTCCGCGAACCCGACACCCCGTGTATACATGTACCTATACGTGCAGAAGCACATAATGCGGGATGAGAGAGACTAGTGGGGGGAGGGGAAAGCTCTTTCGGGCACTGAGCGAGTAAAAGAGAGAGATGCGCTCGGCTTGGCTCGCGGGTATCCATCCGCGTGTATATGTATGCGTTCACTTTCATGGGCGCATAAAAGTGCATAAGAGATGGCTATCTCCGGCGTTGCGGGGGCGCTCTCCTCTCTCTCTCTCTCTCTGGCATTATGTAGCCCCAGAGAGAAACCCATCGCTTCTCTCTCTCTCTCTCTCTCCGCGTCCATTTATCGTCGGCTTTTCAACCCCCCGTTTTTACCACCTGCTTGCCAACCTTTCCCCCAACGGCGTGCCTTAAGTGTACACGAGAAAAGCTTTGTGCTTTCACCCCCTTCGTGTGTGTGTGCGGTATCAGGCTGCGCTAAGGCCTTAATGAGTCGCGCAGGAGGCACAAGCCTCTTTCTCTTGGCTGGTGTGTCTAGGCACTGGCGCATCACTGGCGGCAGCTGTTTCTGGGCAGAATATTCGGGTCAGAGTGTGAAAAAAAAAAAAAAGAAATGGTTTTTACCTGGCTGCCACGTGTGTTGGTGGGCGATGATGCCGTGGGCTTTTTCATTCTGCAGCTGGAGAGAAAATTCCCGAGGAGTTTGGCTCGTCACTTTTTTTTTTTTTTTGCCAGAGGAATGGGAAGAGCTGAGTTTCCGGACGTATACCAAGAAAGCCAGAAAAAAAAAGAACTGATCGCTCGATTGAGATAAGAAAGTTCAATTGTACGGTCGACTGCGCCGAGAAATGAAAAAGAAGATAGAGAAATGCCATTAGTACAGCGAGTAGTGATTAAAAGCTCAATGATGGCTGATTAATGATTCAATCAAGGTGTCCAGTAACATCGATACAGGGGCTTCCCCCACGCCTTGGTACGGTGGAAACACAGCACGTGCGCCCAGAGATAGGAGTAAAGTGCAATGCTGTGTATATGGAAGGAGAGCGGAGATGGATGCATTTCTCTTGGCGATCGGGTGTGTATGGCCGCGCTCGGAAAGGGAGTAGCCGCGTATCGGTGGGTTAACGAGGTCAGCCGGGGAGACCGTTGATAATTAATAAAAAGATTCATTGCGCGATAGGTGGTGCACCGCTGATTGGCCGAGGGGGAGGGTTACGTAAGGGCGTACGTGAAGGTAAAAAGAGGAGATGGAGGTGCGCTATGGTTTTCTGATCATCGATTCTATCTTTTTTTATTTCTTCAGTGCACTGAGCTGGCTTTTGTGCTTCTCTCTGAGGTGCGTATAGAAATCATTTGTTTCAAGTTTTATCTTTTTACGATGATTAGTTATCAAAGAATGGGATCGTTTGAAGAATACAGTCACCTGTTGGAAGTCTTCACAAAAGTCTCGTATAGGTACCGAAATATAGGGATATCAAGTTGTTTCATATGGAAGGTACCAACAACTTTAGGTGTCAGCACCATGCGATAAGGAAATTTTTTTTTTTTCATGATTAATAAAGTCGTAGACAATTACAATATACTCCATGTTTCGACTTCATATTTTGTATCACAAATCAAGTTAAAAACGTGGAGAATTTGACACCCAAGTCATAAGCTTCTACCTTACTTCGGTAGATGCTTTGATTGAGATACACCAACTTCTTTTTTTTTTTTTATTTCTTAGTGTATTATTAACTCTCTATGGATAAGCTGTTTAGCCATGAAATTTTGTAGAAATTTGTATGCACCTCACATGACTCAAAGATGGCTAAATCAATCGACACATATGGTCAGTTTATCTAATTTTTTATTGTAGATGATACAATATTTTGGCTTTCTCCCATAATGAAACCATCGTAATACACACATTATGTGTTACGGAAGGGTGAATGACACATTATTGAGTTTACAAGTGTCAGATATTATATTTATTGTGTTATTAGCTGGACAAATCATCATCGATTTGCAAAACAATCTTTTCAAACAATTATTCTTCATATCAAGGTAATTTAATTTGTTTCCAGATTCATAATAAGCTTAGCAAGAGCTAACTTAGTGTTATTATTTGTACACTCTATCGTATTCAGATGAGGAGTTCATTCGTGACGTCTGGACAATGTAACGTGCGGAATAATAACCACAACTTATTTTAAAAAGAACGTGAGATTTTTCATACTTTTCTAGACCCATACAATTATTCCAAGTTTTGTACGAAAATGCAATTTATCATAACATTTATACGTTAGTCTGGAACTATTTCTTTACAATTAATTAAAATTCTTCGTATAAAAGTTATGAAAACCCTTACATAATTAAAGTATTTGTAATCAGCACCGTTGAAAATTTTTACAAGCTGTAATCGTACATCCATTCGTATCGTATACTTGCACGTATGCGAGGCGCTCTCGCTGCACCGGTGCGCGATATGAGGGCTGGTTAATTAAACTGGCGAAACGATCCTCTTTTTAACGAGCTGCACGTCTCTGATTCCGCCTTTTTCTTCCTTCTCTTTCTTCCTGTCATTACCTACTTTCTCACTCCATTCGGTTTTTGCTCGTGTGTACAACGCTTTAGTTGCTTCGATGGAGAAACATCGATATTTGTCATTCGAATTTCGTGAGTTTTTTAAAAAATAGTTAAAAATATTACTCTCTGACTGTCAGGTTATTTTTCGCATTTGTCGTGACACTGTATATTTTTTGCACATGCATTTAAATTCGAGTGTGCAATTTTGTAATGATCATTGGATTGTGCTTGTACAATTAACCTGTAATCGATTATTTTTTTATTCGTAGTTATCACATCATTGATAAAATAATTTTCTTATAACTTTTGATATCAATTCTTTTTACAGTTAATTGGTTATGGAAGTCATACGTTGTAAGTGATAATAAAAGAAACAAAGAATTTCTTACAAATGACAATTTTCTTCAACACTCTTCGTTTCAATCACGTGTACTCATCATTGGAAAAAATTTCGTCAAAGTAGCCTGAAGGGCTATCCGAACTGTTGGAGTTCATACTTATCTATGTCTTAAACGAAAATTTAGATATACATTTTATTTTGTAGTTTAGAGATAATATGACTACTAGACTGAAAAATTCTGAAGTTGAAATAATAGACAGCCAAGAAAAACCTCAACATTAAACAAAAGCTCAGAAGACATTTTTTCGAAATCGGTGTGTATTTGTATGAAAAGTTATAAAAAAATTTCTTCTCATGTTCTCTGTTTTTGTTACTCAAAATAAATAATAGCTCGTAGAAAATTTGTTCATGTTCAAGTATTAGTTAGTTAGATTTGGTGGCTTTCATTTACACGCAGGTAGATGGAGTATGAGAAATTTGAAGTGCTCAAGAGATAAGTTAATCGTTAATGACTTTTTTGATTCAAAGTGTAAGTATTCCAGAAAAATCTATGAGTGACATCGAAGAACTTTTGTACTTGTAAATATGATCAATTTGCGTAATTTTTTCATAGTTACTCGTTGTTAAATATATTTAAAAGAATAACTGCTGTACATTCTGACTACAAATTAATATGTTAATCAAAGAAGTAATAGAGAGATTTGCTATCATTTTGTATCAGGCACGATTAAAAGGGTATGTATTTATTAATAGACGATAAAAAATTAAGCTGATATTGATTATCAGTTAAAATTTTATTTTTACTATTAATTGTATGTATGTAAATATATGTATGATCCTCCTATCGGCACCTTCCAGTCATTTTGTTAGAAAGACATCTAATGACAAAATAATAGTATAGATACTCACAATAATTTACAGACCCGTTATCAACTTTATATAAATCATCAGGAGTCAAAAGATTGGCTTCAGTGCGATGTGAAAGCTTTTAAAATTTGTATTCTCAGCTACGTTGCATTTTACTGATTCATAGAAAAGTGACTCTAGTTGTATCCAAATATTTTTTAGTGAAGAAAAAAAAAATTTCCAGCATCGATACAAAATGACAAACTATCAAATTATGCGCAAGTTGGCTATTACTATGCTCTTGTATTTCATACATTGCTCCCTTAATATTCTGGTAGAAGGGCAATGTTCACGTGTTGAATACGTGGAGAAATTCAAAACGTGGTACTATTGGATTGGCTCAAATTATCGTCCTAATTTACGTAATGGGGAAGGACCGAAACGTTTGGTTGGACTGGACCGTTTTTATATTGACGAGTACGCGGTGAGCAATGCAGATTTTAAAAAGTTCGTCAACACCACTGGATACGTAACCGAAGCTGAAAAAAAAGGCTACTCAATAGTACATGATGAATACTTAGTCCCATCTGCTAAAAAGAAAATTGTACAGTCTGCGGTTATTTCATCAGGATATCTGTCTGTCAGAAATGCTACTTGGAGGACACCCTTAGGAATCGGCTCCAGTATATCAGGTATAGCGTAACTAAGCTGATTTGTTGTTTTTTTTTTTAAATATCAAAGTATAATTGAATTTTTTATACAAAAAGATTGATGCCTCGAAAAACATAGAGTGAGTATTTTATAAGTATGTCAAACGAAACGATGTGTTTTTAAATTTATTATCATATATCGTTAATTGTAGAAGATTGTAAATCGTATTATGACAGTTTTTAATTTTATTTTGACCTAAACCTGCAATATTCGTTTAACCCACTTAAACAATTTCAAGTACAAATATAGAAACTTTGAAAAGTATCAAATGTCGATATCTATGAGACAAACATTTTTACGAAAAAGTCAAGTAACAAATAAAATTTTTGCATCCACATATCTACTGAACATTTACTATGGTAAACTTTTGCTTACACTGTCTAAAAAATACGACATTTTTTTGCAAAACTGCCATGGGGCAATAAATAGAATCAGAATTTGTTACTCTGCTTTCTCAAATTAAAAATGTCGAATCACAGAACATGAAAAAGTATGAAATATTAAAAACCTTTTTTTACATGAATTTTTATCAATATGTGACGTTTTTTATCATCAGCCTGTAAGTTTTTGTCAACATGTAAAATACTCCTTCATTCAAGAGCATTTAAAATATACAAATGAATTTATGAAGCAATTGCGCATCAATAAAATTGTAAACTGCGGAATCTCGCTAAATAACGTGAAATTGTAATTGCAGAATCAATGAACTTTGCAGTCGTGCATGTTTCTTGGAATGACGCCGCAGCTTACTGCAAGTGGGCGGGTAAAAGACTGCCAACCGAAGCTGAATGGGAGGCTAGTTGCAGAATCAAAGACAAGCTCATGGATGACATAACTGAGCATCCTCCTGGACGTTGTGCGCTAAAATTCAATGGTAAGCACTGGCTTGTTTTATATTGATTGTGGTCTTTTTTTTAGGATATCTTTTATGCTTTAACTAATATTGATATTTTTAAGGAAAAATGTATCAACATATTGCGGGTTCTGACGTTGAGCAAGTTAATTCAGAAGCATATAGATTGCCTAACTATCATAATATCAATTTGTCTGAGTGGACCTCAGATTGGTGGGGAGTCAACAATTTTAAACAAAACGATCTCAATCCTGTAAGTAAAATCTTATCTATTAAATATAAGCTATAAATATTTGAACCCAGCCGTTCTAGCTTTTCTTATCCCGTGGTCATCTTCTTCTATTAATCGGACCGTCACAAAAACTTTGAACTTCATTCGTGTGAGAAAATACCTATAAAAAATCCTGTAATAATTTTTCAAAAATAGCCATTGCCCAAGATGACGTTAACAATTGTTGTTTATTTTAATTATTAAAAAAAAAAGTATTCTTATTATTTCTCTATAACGTATTTGTGATAGCAGGACATTCGATTATTACACTTGAATGTGTTTTAGTAAAAAGATAATAACGATAGTTGATAAATTGTAAAATCTTTTAATCCAAGAAATAGTTATAATCTAAAGATTTTTTTTGTGACATCAGTAACTGCTCAATATATTTAATATGTAACTATAGTTTGTTTTCAAGTCTGTTTTCTAAAAATTTTTTTGCGGAGGCAAGAAATCATCATTTCTTGGGTATCGTAGTTTTTACAATTATAACGTATGGACACCATTTTAAAAGCTTGGATTGTTAGACCCAAATCGATGTAGCTTATCTTATTATCAAATACATGCTTGTTTTTGGAAAACGATTGAATGCTACAGAACTTATATCTTTTCTAGACTGGACCTTATTATGGGACTCAAAAAGTAGTTAAATATAGTCACTTGAATTGTGACGACACCCAGGAATGTGTAAGATCATCTTCATGTACACATAGAACGCCAATGTTTGCTAATGCCACATCAAATATTATAGGCTTCAGATGTGTTGCTACATCTTGAACAGTTAAATGAACAATTTAAAAACAAGCACTAAGTGTATAAATCAGTGTTTTGTTTATTATATACTACTATGTACTTTGGTGTTTGTATTATTTTTTAATTATGGTTGAGGAATATTGGATGAAATAAAAATTATTCAAAAGTAAAAAAAAAAAAAACTTTATTGTAAAATATACAAATTTTTATGCAATGCCTGCCTGCTGCGTTCTATTTATCTAACACAATTAAAAAGTTTTTGATAAAAGTCATAAGCAATTATTATAAAATCTTTCTTTATTGAACTTAGCATGTGTACAGTGACTACTGCTTATCAATAGTGAAACAAAGACGAAACTGGAAATACTAAGTCTTATCAGACATAATCAACTGATATTTTAACTTTTAGTGTTAAATCTTAACTTTATCCGAAACAGCTTGCTCTCCACTGCTGAAAAAAAAAATATAAACTCTCATTCATCTTCCTTAGAGGCCATAAAGTTACACTTTCTTGAGTTGTGCTTTATTGTATGATAATTAGCTTGAACAGTTTTACTCAATTGAATTGTAATTTTACTTTTGGGATGTATATGTAATGTTACTCCAATTAAAGTACACAAGGCACATATCTTTTGAACGTTTTTACTACTACGTATTCATTATGTGTTGTTTCCATGGGCATAACTATTTCCTTACGTCAGATTCAAATTGAGAAGTAACTTTTTACATCAACGTCTAAATGTATAGTTGTAGAAGGATTGAAAACAAAAACAGCGTTTGAAGGATCAGAAATGCTCTATATTTTTGTACGAGACATAAACATGTCACATACATGTTTCTGCCGTTTTAGTTTCTCTTCTTTATTTGAAGAAAAAGTAATTTTAGATATACAATAAGATATATTTCATATTAGCTCGACAATGCATGTCACGCTATTCATGGGTGTGCCAATATATATTTTGATTGTCTCAAAAAGCTTACATCTAAGCTATATTAAATTTGGTGGGTAACATTGTTCTGTTACAGCAATTGTATAGTGTTATATCTGGATAAGGATGGGGTATCAAAGAAAAAAAATTTACCACCACTAAGATCGCAGAACTTAAAAATACTCGTCAATTTTTTATTGTAACTTTTTAGCAAAAGCTTTAGTTTGAAATACAGCTACCAAAGATTGTGGATTTAGACTTTTCCATGCCAACATTTTCTAAATATTCATGATCGTGATAAGGAATTTACTTGTATTTAAGAGGACCTGTCATTAAGGTGGTGATGTACTCGTAGATGATACGTAGACAGCGAAGATGGAAACTTTTTTTTGAACCACGGTAATTGATAGCTACAACGAGGCCTTTTTTTCTTATCGTCGAATGATAGTTTAGAGCCAACGATCCTGACTTGTGCTGCTGATTTCTGGAATTTTGATGCTCGTGTGCTTTCAATAGAGATGAGTAATAAAATTTTATCCGACTACAATGAGATTATAGTCCTAATACGTACAGAGAAAGTGAAAACATGTAGAAATTCGCACGTCCTAGAAGTATTCACGTATAACTTTGCACGCTTGGAGAAAAATTTACAGATGCGTTAGTAAGGAGACGTAACAAATAATCCCTTCCATGCAAGCAGAATATAAATAGTGGCAAGGACTTCGCGAGTTTGTTGAGTAGTGCATGAAGTTTTTTTTTATTCATTATCATGACATAGTACATTGTTTCCACGGATCCTTAAATTTAAGTATGTGACGTTGTAATGATCATCGAATTGTGCTGGTATACTTAGTCAGTAACTATTACATGTTTTATCATAATTATCAAACAAATAATAGAATAATTCTCATATCACGTTAAGTATCAATTTTTTTTACAGTTAATTTGCTTTTAAAGTCATAAGTGATAGGTGATAATAGAAGAAGCAAAGAATTTCTTACAAATGACAATTTTCTTTCGAAACCTCCCATTCCAATCACATGTAGGTACTCATCATTAGGTATAATTTCGTCAAAGTAGCCTGAAGGGCTATCCGAACTGTTGGAGTTCATACTTATCTATGTCTTAAACGAAAATTTATATATACATTTTATTTTGTAGTTTAGAGATAATATGACTACTAGACTGAAAAATTCTGAAGTTGAAATAATAGACAGCCAAGAAAAACCTCAACATTAAACAAAAGCTCAGAAGACATTTTTTCGAAATCGGTGTGTATTTGTATGAAAAGTTATAAAAAAATTTCTTCTCATGTTCTCTGTTTTTGTTACTCAAAATAAATAATAGCTCGTAGAAAATTTGTTCATGTTCAAGTATTAGTTAGTTAGATTTGGTGGCTTTCATTTACACGCAGGTAGATGGAGTATGAGAAATTTGAAGTGCTCAAGAGATAAGTTAATCGTTAATGACTTTTTTGATTCAAAGTGTAAGTATTCCAGAAAAAGCTATGAGTGACATCGAAGAACTTTTGTACTTGTAAATATGATCAATTTGCGTAATTTTTTCATAGTTACTCGTTGTTAAATATATTTAAAAGAATAACTGCTGTACATTCTGACTACAAATTAAGATGTTAATCAAAGAAGTAATAGAGAGATTTGCTATCATTTTGTATCAGGCACGATTAAAAGGGTATGTATTTATTAATAGACGATAAAAAATTGAGCTGTCATTGATTATCGGGTAAACGAATCTCATGTATAATATTAATTGTATATGTATGTACATACGTGTGTTATGCATTATTATCAGTGTATCGCGAATAAAAAACGAAGACGAATGCATCCAGGTTTATCTCATTTGACAATTAAACTTGCTATCACCACTCGTCAGCTGTATAATTTGAAATAAACGTAATGACAAAATAATAGTGTAAAAGTCTACAATAATTGACGAACCCGTTATCCGCTCAATACGCTTGAAATAATAAAGAGCGATTAAAAAAGCTATTCTCAAGTATGCAGTGCATTGACAAGTGTCAAAATTAACATTTCATTCAAGCTTCTTTTTATCGATAAGGCTGATGTTTTTGGGAAAACTAATGGTGTTTCTACACTTTTATTGACATAAAAACATTGTATCATCGTACAGGAAATATCCTTTTTTAAAAAATCCAGTAGAATCTGAATCGATAAAATCTTGAATGATCATCACGCGCGGAAACATACACGATTACAAAGACCTACACGTATCTTATCTCAAACTACCGTTGTTTGATTCGCGTATACATCTTCAGTTTCGTCCAAATAGAGCACTTATCCACATCTGCAATCTGGCAAGAGATTTCCTTCAACGAAAACCTCAATTCTCACAACAGTAAAAAAAAAAAAAAAAAAAAAAAACATCTTCAGATTAATGCATCGGCAAACACTCGTCATTCGACAGTCCACCAATGTTGTTTCGGCAACTCTCGCCAAAGCACTCGAGCAATATTTTTCTTATCGTCCACCGCCGTCTTTCCCCCGAAAAATCCTGTCACCCCCTACCATTTGCGCTCAATGGCTACATCACTCATCCCAGGACTCTTTGTCAACTTTGTCGTGCTTTTTCAGCACGCGTCCCCACTAGTCATTTCCAAGCTTGTTTGTAGTCTTTCCTGTCTCACAAGTACGTAACTACTTACTCCGGAAATTGAAGAATTCGAGCTGCTTTTCATGCTGCGTAGAATTTTTCGGAGCGTGACGGCAGATATGGTACGATGATATCTGGGAGACCTTGGATGATTAATGATTGCCGGAGTTGTCTACAACAAAGTCACGATCGAGCTACTGTCTACACATGATAATGTTTACGCTCGTGATGATTTTTCACTATTAAAGAGCACCTAGCATTATCACAACGGAACAACTTTTATGGGTTGTGTGCTTTTATTTTTAATAAAAGACTATTAATCTAACTGCCCTATATCTTACATGTATATAACCAGCTGTTTGGTATTAATTTTACATCTGTCTTCCTCCTTTTTGTGTAACTAAGGTCATACTTACAAAGTGTATCGAAGGACTTTTCAGGACTTGGCTTACAACCAATTGTTAGTAGCCTTCAAAAGTTATTATTGATTTCGTCTCTACTATATCGAGCAGGTGTATTTTTTTAATGATTCCTACATAAATATTGCAGTATTCTAACTCTCACGAGTATAAAACTAAGACTGTGTCTATCTAAATTTTGGGGTATCATAAATAATAGCAAATTTATTTCCTTTGTCAAGTTTAAGGAATATTATTAGGGCTCAAATTCTGCCTGAATACTTTATAAAAGGGTGAATACCACGGGAACAAATCAATGTAGATAATGCAAAATGACATAGCAATAGGTATTGAAAGGACATAAAAGATTTACAAGTGACGATTTTCTTCTGTTCTCTCTTAAATAAAGAGGAGCCTTTTTCCTTCCAACAACAACAAAAATGCCTTGTTCACGAAATCAGCATCCTTACTAATATTCCGTTGGCACAGAAAATCTCTATCTCGAGTGCAAGGGTAAAACGAGCCGTACTTGATTTCTCGACGGAAAGAAGAAACTAAGTCCACCATAAATATACTTTTCTTCATGTGCATCGTAACTTCCCGGCTTTGGGTTTTCCGCAAACTGTACCTACCCAGGTTTGAAGTACGAGAATATTCTTTCCTTTTAAGGATTAAAAAATAAGGGCCAGCCAAGGTGATGCACCAAAATATAAGTCTGTATTACGTACGCGGAAGAGAAGAAAGCCGCGTTTGTTGTACGAAGCAAGTTTTTATCAATCCACCAGCACAATATCCCATACAAACGCGAAAATGCTATCGATGCACGTGATTTCCGAAGGGGGTCGCCTCGTGTCGCCGCTGGCCACCGAATGTGCATATAATAGGCGCAAGAACGGGATAAACTCCGCCTCCTCCCATTCTTACCGGCAGACGCGTCCGAGGAGATGCTTAACGGTTGATGCTAATCTGCTGATTTAACGCTGATTTACTATCAAGCAACGGAGAGTCCGCGTGCGTACGAGGAGCGTAGGTATTTTTCAATACATCGATTGTAGGCCTCGTATACGCTTATGATAAGTATGGATCACGACAACAAAGGT